AAGTCTTCATAACCCCAACTGTTATTTTATCTATACACCCATTTTACAGATGAGAAAAATGAGGTTCAATGAAGCAATTCACTTTCTTAAGATTGTATAACCAAGAAGTAATGGGAGTTAGATGTGAACCCAGGTCTATCTCATTCCAAAGCCCAGCAGCATACCTATTTGTCAGAGCATATATGCTAGAGTCCATCTACCTGGGTTCGACTCCATGTTTGTTTGTTTGTTTTTTGTTTTTGAGATGGAGTCTCTCTGTGTTGCCCAGGCTGTAGTGCAATGGCATGCTCTTGGCTCACTGCAACCTCTGCCTCCCAGGTTCAAACAATTCTCCTGCCTCAGCCTCCCAGTTAGCTGGGATTACAGGCATGTGCCACCATACCCGGCTAATTTTTGTATTTTTAGTAGAGATGGGGTTTCACTATGTTGGCCAGGTTGGTCTTGAACTCCTGACCTCGTGATCTGCCTGCCTGGGCCTCCCAAAGTGCTGGGATTACAGGCATGAGCCACCATGCCTGGCTTGTTCGTTTGTTTTTAGAGTCAAGATCTCCCACTGTCGCCCAGGCTGGAGTGCAGTGGTGCCATTATAGCTTACTATAGCCCCCAATTCCTGGGCTCAAGCAAGCCTGCCACTTCAGCCTCCTGGGTTTCTAGGACTACAGGTGTGTGCCACCATGCCCAGCTAATTAAATTTTTTTTTTTTTTTTGTAGAGATAGGGTCTCACTTTGTTGCCCAGGCTGGTCTCAAACTCTTGGCTTCAAATGATCTTCCTGCCTCAGCCTCCCAAAATGGTGGGATTACAGGTGTGAAACATCATGCCCGGATAACTGTATGTCTTAATTCACTTGATTTTCATGGTACACCTCTGGGAGAAGGGCATGGCAACACCCATTATATAGGTGCAGCGACAGCACAGAACTCTGTGAAGCAGGGGAATGACAGAGTTGGGTTTGGCATCCAGGAAGTTTGTCTCCAGAGACAAAGCTATTAACCTCCACGCTTTCCTGCCTCTCAACAATCCTCATTATGAATGTTATGATTCAACCCACTGACCTAGTTCTTTTTGTCTTTGGGGTTTTACACTGCTCTGACATTCATGTCCTCGCTTATGTCTTACATTGAGACTCTGAATGGGTTGTGTACACACTCCCCAGGATACAGTAACCTTTTTGGGTATTCTCACCTCTGGCTGTATCACTGGCCTCTTGCCAGCCCTTGAGAACTGCCCCTAGCTCAAGCAAGGATCCTAATTTAGCAGATGAGGTCAGGGCCGGAAGATCATCTCCAGGGTGACCCAGGCCCAAGGACTCGCTCCCAGCTACTTTTCTGAAGAGGAGGTGGTGTAACCAGAATGCACTTTAAGGTCTTGAGGCCTAAAAAAATGATCTCCCCAAAGATCATTTGTTTCCTCAAACAGATTTTGGGCTTTTTCAAGTGAGAGACTAATCACTGACCCCACTGTCAGTATTCAGCAGCATGCCTGATTGATATATACTAGATACTCAAGGGTTTTGGTTGAATGATGAATAAATAAATGAATGAATAAAGAAACCCAGATTCTCTTACTTGAGGTCTGTGCTGTCTAATACAGTAGCATGTGGCTACTTATTTTATTTTATTTTATTTTATTTTATTTGAGATGGAGTCTCACTCTGTCACCCAGGCTGGAATGCAGTGGCACGATCTCATCTCACTGCAACCTCCACCTCTTGGGCTCAAGCGGTTCTCCTGCCTCAGCCTCCCAGGTTGCTGGGATTACAGGCTCGTGTCACTCCGCCCGGCTAATTTTTGTATTTTTAGTAGAGATGGGGTTTCATCATGTTGGCTGGGCTGGTCTCGAACTCCCGACATCAGGTCATCTGCCCACCTTGGCCTCCCAAAGTGCTAGGATTACAGGTGTGAGCCACTGCGCCCGGCTGCATGTGGCTATTTGAATGTAAATTCTAATTAGTCAAAATTTAAAATTCAGTTTCTCAGTTTCATTAGCCACATTTCAAGAGCACAATAATCCCATATGGTCAGTGATTACCATATTGGAACATTTCCATCATTACAGAAAGATCTGTTGGACAGCACTAGGCTAGATGACAGATAGGGTGGGGGAAGAGAAAATGCTACATTGGGAAAACCCTTGGTATAGGCTGATGGCTTTAATCTGCTTTTGACACTTTTAAAAGAGTCAAGATCAGTCGTCTCTCATTAGATTGTATCGCACACTGCCCAATCAGAGGTCCAGAAACCACTTCTTCAGAAATCCTGTATTGAGAAATGAAAGCCCATTTCTGATCACTTACATGACCCATACTTCTTCAGAAAGGAAGGCATGAAGTTGAAGGGGGAACTAAGACTGCTGAGTTATTCTGTCTTCGGCCACAGGAAACTAACTGATCCATGGCGCTTTGTACCCATGAGCTCATCTAGTCCTCCCAGGGCACAGGAGAGTGGTGAAAATGAGTGGCCATAGTTCACAGATTTTTCAACTGGCGAAGGCTAATTCCTACACTCAAAACATCAGTAAATTGTCAGATGTGTTCCAACTAAGAGCAGTGGAAGGCAGAAAGATGTATAAAATATGGGCCTTAAGAAGTTTATAACCAAGTTAAGGGAAATTAAGAGATCAGCACATAAATATAAGTATATAAAACTGTAACTGTATCTGTAGCTATATATGTGTGTGCATCTATTTATTATCCATCTACTTACTTATCTAATAACATAATTAATTAACATTTATTTGATATGTTAGAGCTTAACAAGTACTTTTCCTCATATGAAGACTCAGCAGATCCCCATGATGAATGTCAAACAAATGGAATGTTGGTGCAGAGAGCAAGCATTCTAGGCATTCGCAGCGGGGTGAGATCACTGTAGGATGGAGTGATGGGGGAAAGCTATTGTTGAGGCAGAACCAGCAGGAATGTGGGGTAGTCACACAAACATGGATACAACTCCTGGTTTCCCTACTAGACACTTCCCAGGCTCTCCATTTCTTGTAGTTTTTGTTTGCTTTTTTTTTTTTTTTAAAAGATGTGGTCTCACTCTGTGGCCCAGGCTGGAGTGCAGTGTAGCGGTGTGATCGTGGCTCAGTGCAGTGGTGCAATCATGGCTCAGTGCAGTGGTGCAATCATGGTTCAGTGCAGTGGTGTGATCATGGCTCAGTGCAGTGGTGTGATCATGGCTCAGTGTAGTGGTGCAATCATGGCTCAGCGCAGCCTCAACTGCCAGGGTTCAAGCAGTTCTCCCTCTTCAGCCTCCTGATTCGTTGGGACCATGGGTGCGTGCCATCACGTCCGGCTAATTTTTTGACTATTTGTAGACACGGGGCCTCGCTATGTTATTCAGGCCGATCTCAAACTTCTAGGCTCAAGTAACCCTCCTCGGCCTCCCGAAGTGCTGGAATTACAGGCGGGAGACACTGTGCCGGACCCACTGCTTGTAGTTTTTTTAATCGGGTAATTGTAAATTCATTTTACTTTCTAAAAGATAAAATGTTGACGAAGAGTTCTTAGTGATCTCTGTTTTCTCTCCAGTCCTCCACCAAAATAATCAACACATTTAAAAAAAACAAACTCCCACATATTTTATAGTGAATCTAGAAATATAGAATAATTTGGATACTCTAAATACAAAATGGTTTGAGTTACCTTTATTTAATAATCCTGTGATGAGCATACAATGACATACGTCACATAACTTACAACTCAGGCTTATATAACATCAGCTCTGCCCCACATTCCTGCCATGTAGAACACATAAAAATCCAACCCTGCAGTCTGACCAGTCTTGCCTAGGTTCTCCTTACATAATCATAACCACTTCCCTGCCAGGAGCAATTTTAAAATGTTCTTCTAAAGCCCTGTGCACTTTGCCTTGGCTTCCTTTAACTTTTCTTTTCTTTTCTTTTCTTTTTTGAGAGGGAGTTTCGCTCTTGTTGCCTAGGCTGGAGTGCAATGGCTCAATTTCGGCTCACCACAACCTCTGCCTCCCAAGTTCAAGAGATTCTCCTGCCTCAGCCTCCCAAGTAGCTGGAATTACAGCATGTGCCACCATGCCTGGCTAATTTCGTATTTTTATTAGAGACGGGGTTTCTCCATGTTGATTAGGCTGGTCTCGAACTCCCGACCTCAGGTGATCTGCTCGCCTTGGCCTCCCGAAGTGCTGGGATTACAGCCGTGAGCCACCGCGCCTGGCCGGCTTCCTTTAACTTTTCTAAAGAGCTTCTACTTTTCTTCCTTGGTATTTGCATTTCTTTGGCTTCAAGCCACAAAATTGATTTTCCTTAACTCGAACTGAATAGTTGAGTCTTGGGAGGATATTAAATAGCTCACAAAATCAAAGGAAGGCCAGAGAACCAGACTCAGGAAACAGAACCAGGGTAGCTCCAGCAGATGAGGTAGTAGGAATTGACGGTGTTGTCCTGGCTACCTGCTGAAATGAATAAGTGACAAAGCGTTTTTTCCATCTTTTCCATTTTTGTTCATCATTCAAAGCCCTAGCAGAGAGAATCTGATCAGCCTAGTCTAGGTGAGGGCTAGGGGAAAAAGCACACCTTAACCATAGCTCATTAGGAATGCACACAGGGAATTCTCCAAGGAATCCAATGACTGTTCTCAGAGGAGAAGAGAATGCACGCAGGATGGTCAAACTTCAGAAAATATCCACCACATTCGCATTTTCTCTTACCTCCATTTTCTACTTTTTCTGATTATCCACAACAGGGGTGACTAACGGATCTTCCAAGGTTGTGAAAAAGATATAGAAAAATAAATCTACCTGTACTGGAATTTTTCCCAGAAAGGATTAATGGTTGGAAAAGTTTGGCCCTACTTACCCCTCAGTGTTAAATATAAGGATTAAAGAAAATATATGCAAAACGCCTATTACCTTACCTGGCATGTAGCAAGGTTCATTAAATGTCAGTCCCATTCCACCCCTTCCCATTCACCCACTGCTGTGCTGGCCTCCGAGAGTTAAACATTTACAGGCCACTGCCGCATGTGCTCCTTTCTTTCCCTCACAAGATGTGAGGAGAACCAAGTTAGGATTAGGTTGACCTGTGAGTGACAAAACCAAATAGAACAATGACTTCCTAGATGGAAGTCCATTTCTCTCTGACAGAAACAAAGTCCAGAGCCAGGCAGGCAGCTCGGGGCTGGGACAGTTCTGCCTCGTTGCCTCACTGTCTTTGATGCATGGCTCTTCGTGATTTAGGATGATTGCTCAGGCTCCATATTCAGGCCAAGGGGAAAGAGAAGGACAAAGAAATACACACCCCATCCTAGTAAGTCCACAGACAGAAGTAACCTGTAATATTTCTGCTCATTTCAAATAGGTTGGAAGGAAGTTTCTCTGCCACATCTGGCTGCAGGAGATGCTTAGAGCCCTGTAACTTCCTGCAGGCAGCCATGTGCCCTGCTGGGGGCTGAGAAGGGGAGGGCAGGGGTTGGGGCGCAGCTGAGAAGCTGGGTGGGATTCGAGAACATGTAGGGGAGAGGAAGAACTGGTGTTGGTGTGATGGGAATGAGCATAGTTTGTGGAACTCTGTGGGAGCTGACTGGAATAGAAAATTAAAAATACTGACAAATGAGGTTAAATAAACAAGGTAGAAGCCAGAGCTCAGTGAGGGACCAGGAAAGCAGACAAAAGAATCTTTATCTCCTGCCACTAGACACCAGAGGCACTGAACTTTCCAGTAGGGGAGCTACATGATCAGAGGCATTTCAGAAATTTTAATCTCACACTTAAGGGCTAGACATATTGGAGGCAGGAGGAAAAACAGGAAGCAGCAGGGAGGTTGGAAAGGAGACTGATTTCATAAGCCAGGTGTGAGGTGATTACATGGGGGCAATGGGAATGAGGAGGAAGAATGAGAGGCATTTGCTAGAAAATGTATTCAAACCGATGGCTGGTCTGAAAGGGAATTTTGGGCTGGGGTGATGAGAGACAGGACTCATAGCAACAGGGTAAACAAAGTAAACTTGGCTTGGTTGGTGTTTTATTTATTATTATTATTATTTTTTGAGACGGAGTTTCGCTCTTGTTGCCCAGGCTGGAGTGCAGTGGTGCGATCTCGGCTCACTGCAACCTCTGCCTCCCAGATTCAAGTGATTCTCTTGCCTCAGCCTCCCGAGTAGCTGGGATTACAGGCATGCACCATGACGACCAGCTAATTTATTTATTTTTAGTAGAGACGGGGGTTTCACCATGTTGGCCAGGCTGGTCTCGAACTCCTGACCTCAAGTGATCCACCCGCCTTGGCCTCCCAAAGTGCTGGGATTGCAGGTATGAGCCACGGCGCCTGGCCTATTATTATTTTATTTTGAGACAGGGTCTTGCTCTGTCACTCAGGCTGAAGTGCAGTGGTGCAGTCTTGGCTTCCCATAACCTCTGCCTCCTGGGCTCAAGTGATAGATCCTCCCACCTCAGCCTCCCAAGTAGCTGGGACTACAGGCGCATGTCACCCAGCTAGGCTAATTTTTTTTTTATTTTTTGAAGAGGCAAGGTTTTGCTGTATCCAGCCTGTCTCCAGGCTGGTTTTGAACTCATGAGCTCAAAGCAATCTGCCCATCTTGGCCTCCCAAAGTGCTGGGATTGCAGGTGTGAGCCAGTGTACTTGGCAGCTGGTGTTGTAGATTGGGCTACCTTGAAGCAGAACCTAGGGTGGGGACTTTTGTTCAAGAGATGCACTGGGGGAGGCTCTCAGGAGAAAGGCTGAAGAAAACAGGATAAGGAAGGGAAAGAGGCTAAGCAAGGATGTGAGCTTCAACCTGAGCTCATGGGGAAGCTCAGGGCAGCAAACTGCACCAGTCAATTGCACTTGGAGGCATGGGGGCTGGCGTTTTGTACATCTGCTTCAAGGTCAGGCAGCCACTGGGAGGTCTGTCCAGAGTGTGTGCAAGGGAGGGCTTGGCTCCTGTTTGGCCCACGGCAGTTCTCCAGAAAAGGGGACAATTGTGTGTGGTTATCAGCTGACATTCCCAAAAGCTGGAAGGTGAGTGGACCCACTGGTGAAAAGGACCTGAGCCCAAACAGTGCCCACGACAGTGAATCCATTTTGGTTGTGTTGGATTTGAGGTGGCAAAGAAATAAGGAACTTGCATGTGACTGCGGGAGATTAGAGCTACAAGACAGCAGTTCAGGCGAAAAGATAGGACTAGGTATGTAGCTATTGGAATGGGGGACTTTGGCGCACAGGTGATAGGGTTTTTTGTTTGTTTGTGAGGGTTTTTGTTTGTTTGTTTGTTTGGAGAGAGGGTCTTGCTCTGTAACCCCAGCTGGAGTATAGTGGCATGATCATAGCTCTCTGCAGCCTTGACCTCCCAGGCTCAAGAGATCCTCTCACCTCAGCTTCCTGAGCAGCTGATACTACAGGTGTATGTCACCACTCCCAGCTAATTTTTAAAACAATTTTTGTAGAGATGGGGCATCTCACTATGTTGCCCAGGCTGGTCTCAAATTCCTGGGCTCAAACAATCCTGCTGCCTCAGCCTCCCACAGTTTTGGAATTACAGGTGTAAGCCATGGCACAGGCCTAGATGATAGTTTAAACAAGAGGGAATTTGTATATTTGTCACTCTGGGGTGCTGGTGGCCTTTGAAGGAAGACTTTAACAGCAGGACAGAGTGTAAAACCATATGGTGAGGTGTGGTCTAGCAATGCTTTCCACAATTAATGTCCTCCGTACTGACTAACTCTTAACACCTCTAGGGTACCTTATGCTTCGACTTATGTGCTGCTTATTCTGGCTTGTCCTCTGTGTTCTGGTTATTTTTTGCTGTCCAACAAATTGCCTCAAAATTTTATGGCATGACACAACCGTTTGTTATGTTCACAGATTCTGTGGGTCAGGAGTTTGGATACACTGCTGTGGGGACGGCTTGTCTCTGCTCCATGGTATCTCGGGCTGCAGCTGGAAGACTCGAAAGCTGTGAGACTGAAATCATCTGCAGACACTTTGTATGTCTCACATATCTGGCAGTGGCTGTGGGCGGTTGGCTCAGGGACCTCATGTTTTCTATCTGTGGTCTAGTTAGAGTTTCTCTTGCTTGGTGGCTGGGTTGCTGTGAGGGAACCAGGGAATGAACGGCCTTTTTTTTTTTTTTTTTTTTTTGAGAAGGAGTTTTGCTCTTGTTGCCTGGGCTGGAGTGCAGCAGCACGATCTTGGCTCACCACAACCTCCGCCTCCCAGGTTCAAGTGATTCTCCTGCCTCAGCCTCCCAAGTAGCTGGGATTACAGGTGTACGCCACCACACCTGGCTAATTTTGTATTTTTAGTAGAGACGGGGTTTCTCCATGTTGATCAGGCTGGTCTCAAACTCCTGATCTCAGGTGATCCACCTGCCTCAGCCTCCCAAAGTGCTGGGATTACAGGTGTGAGCCACCATGCCTGGCTTTTTTTTTTTTTTTTTTTTGAGACAGGGTTTCACTCTGTTGCCTGTGCTGGTGTACAGTGGTGCAATCATGGCTCACTGCAGCCTTGACTGCCCAGGCTTAAGTGATCCTCCTGCCTCAGTCTCCCTGGTAGCTGGGACTACTGCCAACATGCTTGACTGATTTTATTATTATTATTATTATTATTGTTTTGTAGAGACAGGGTCTCACTATGTTGCCCAGGCTGGTCTCCAACTCCTGGGCTCAAGCAATCTGTCCATCTCAGCCTCCTAAAGTGTTGGGATTTCAGGTGTGAACCACTGTGCCCAGCTGCATTCTTTTTATAACCTCATCTTTTTTTGATCTACATCACTTCCCTCATATCCTATTGGTCAGAGTAGTCACAGCCCCGCTCTGATTCAAAGAGAGGAAATATGGCCCCTACCTGGAGTGTCAGTCACGGGACAAGGAGAGCAAGTGGAGCGGGGCACCCAACTTTGGAAAATACCAACGGTCACACTCTATCGGAGCCTCCATTTGCTTTTTATGAGTGGCCTTCATTTATTCAACTGTCATTGGGTCAACAATAACAGCAACTTGAGGAACTTCCTGAGGGCAGGGATCAGGCCTGTTACGTTTGTTTACTTTATCTTTATACCCTAAGCCCAGGAATAAGTATTTGTGGAAGGACGGGATCCTTCTAAGTCTCTCATCTATTTTCACATACTCTGCATCATTTGATTCTAAATTAGCTGTCATTACCATTTCACAATTGAAGAAACTGAGGCTTAGAGGTGCAAACAGTCTCTCTCAGATGACTCAGGTCTTCTGGGTTAATGTGGCTTTTATTAAGAACTTGTTGTCTCCAACAGCAAATAACATTCCTAGGGGCTGGGTCTGTTTCTTCAGGACCCCTGCCTCTGCACCCTCATAGCAGCACAGGCCTAGCTGTAGGGCTGTGGACAGCGTGCCCTTGGCTGCTTACTGACTGGTTTGCATTTGATATACATGATGATTCAGTATGAAGATTTAGTGTGATTTTGCATCTCTTCACAGGAGCAGGGTCAGGACCAGGGTCCTAATGTGGAATTCAGCTTTGGGGCTGGGTAGAAGACTAGGATGAAGTTGCTTCTCATCTCTCTGCCCTGGCTATGAGCAGGCGGCACCTGGGTCAGGAGTATGAGGTGAGTGGGTGATTCTAAGGAGGGTTCAGGTGGAGCAGTCAGACCCTGCTGAGTAACTCCCCTGGAGGGGAAGGGGGAAGTGGTGGAGGCAGTTCCTGTAGGCCTAGCTCAGAGGGGAGAAGGGAGCCAATTACCACCTCCTCCCCAAGTCACATCCCAGCCCTGGAAACACTTCACAGGCTCCGGGGAAATCCTGGCCAAATCTGCCAAGTGGCAGAGTGGGTGGTGGGGTGCTTATCACTCATGATCAGGAGTGGGTGGGGGCAGATCTTAGAGCTTTAGAGGTTGCATCAGGCCTCAATTTTCCAACTCCTGCCTGCGATCCACCCCTACTCCCACTGCACACCACCAACCAACCTTTGACTTTATCTCTTTAGTTGATTTCTCAGAGATTGCAGATCAGGAAGGGCCTTTGGAAACCACAGCTTCCACTTCCGCTGTGGGGGCAGAAAGCACGGGATAATCTAACCCCTTCGTGTCTGGAAAATAACATGGAGGACTCTGCCCTTACCAGGTTCCCAAGGTCCTGTACCAGCCCTAAAGGGACTGCTGATGGGGTCTTTTTCTCTCTGGTTCCTCATCCTCTCCTCTGCTCAGGTGTGTGCTGGCCCTGCCTAGTTGGTCTGACAGCATCTGCCTGCGACTTCTCATGTCACCTCTGACTCCCCAGCCTGACCTCCACAGGCCCTGGTGCATTGGCTTCAGCTGTGTCTTTTGTGAGTCATCCTTGCTGCTTTGTTCCAGCCCCACCGATGGGCCTCCCACCCTCCCCCATACAGGACTTACTCACCAATTGTGTCATCAATCCCTCTGAAATGCACCCCCTCCTCCAGACATCCACCTCCCCACATCCTTCATTATTTTGTTTAAACTAACAATGCCCCCCCCAACCCCCATGATTAAAATAGTACATGTTTGTTGTGGGAAATCTGTAATATGCAAAATGCATACAAAAGAGAATAAAAAGCACCGATAATTCCATAACCCAAATTAGCTAACATTATATTCTAGTGGATTTCCTTCTGGCATTCTCCTCGCCAGAACTCCTTCCAGCTTCAGGCCTTCATGTACACTTATTGCTTCTTCTACCTGAAGTGGTGCTCTCTGCCTCTCCACTCCTTCAATGTGTGAGCAAATCTACTCATCTTTATTGTGGTAAAGGTCATTCTTTCAGAGAAACCTTCCCTCTACCCCCAAGCTAGTCTCTTTATTACACACTCACAATACCCAGTACTTTTCCTTGTAGCACTCACCACAACTAGAAATAAATCATCATTTTTGTCCTCTTGTGTTGAATGTCTGCCTAGCTACCTGACGTAAGGTCGGCGACTGGTTTTCTTGTTTACTCTGACGGCCTTAGCATCCATCACAGTGCCCTGTACTCAGAAAACACACATCATACCCAGATGCCTTCCCAGAATAATCGTGTGCCTGCCTTCCCAGCACTTACAATAATCAATTTAACAAATGTAATTAATCAATTACTATGTGCCTGGCTTGGTTTCAAGTACAGTATACCAAGCGAAATGACCCAGTTCTTACTCTCAAGGAGGTCTCAGTCTTTTGAGGGAGACAGATCAGTAACGGAAGCGTTCTAATGTACAGCTAAGTATACGGTGATCAATAGTGTTAGGTAAAGTGTGGAGGAGAGGTCCCTGAACAATCCTGGGGAGGTGACACCATTGTTTTATCTTGTCTTGTTAATGCATTTACTTCACAGAATCACAGGATAATGGAATTGGATGGCACTGTGAGATCAGCAGGCCCATCTCTTCCTGTATAGATGAGGAAACTAAAGTGGGGAAGGGTAGTAAAGCAACTTAGCCAAAGCCATTGGGTAGCAGATCTGGGAATAGAACTTGGATCTTTAGATTCCCAGCCCAGGGTTTTTTCCACGGTACCTAGGGGCCTTTGGACTCCCCCTCTCCTCTCCTCCCATTCTGTTAATCCCCAAGTCCTTTGATTTTCCCTGTGAAGGTCTCTCCAATCTCTTCACTTTTCCTCACCTCCACATCCCCAGGCTCTAAGCCTCCAACATCATCTCCAGCCTGAGCACCTACCCTCACCCTCTACCTCATCTCTCTGCTTCTAGTCTTGCCCTGCTCAGATCCCTTCTCCACTCTGCAGCCAGAATGAGCCTCACAGATGTATGCATGAGCATGTCTGTCCCTGGCTTAGAACTCCAGTGGCTTCCCATCATGCTTTTAGAAATATACTCAAAATTCTTATATGATGTATTAGTCAGCTCAGGCTCCCATAACAAAATACGCTAGACTAGGTGGTGTAAACAACAGAAGTTTATTTCTCACAGTTCTGGAGGCTGAGAAGTCCAAGATCAAAGTGCTGGCAAGGTCAGCTTCTTTCAGACATTCAGAGTCCTCTTTCCTTTCTTTCTTTCTTTCTTTTTTCTTTCTTTCTTTCTTTTTTTTTTTTTTTTTTTTGAGACAGAGTCTTGCTCTGTCACCCAGGCTAGAGTGCAATGGCATGATCTTGGCTCACTGTAACCTCTGCCTCCCAGGTTCAAGTGATTCTCCTACCTCAGCTTCCTGAGTAGCTGGGATTACAGGTGCCCACCACCATGCCAGGCTAATTTTTGATTTTTAGTAGAGATGGGGTTTCATCATGTTCACCAGGCTGGCCTCAACCTCCTGACCTCAGGTGATCCACCCTCCTTAGCCTCCCAAAGTGCTGGGATTACAGGCGTGAGCCACCGCACCTGGCCCAGAGTCCTCTTTGCTTGGCTTGTAGGTGGCTGCCATTTTGCTCTGTACTCACATGGCCTCTTTGTGCATGTGGGGAGACAGATTTCTCTTGTGCATCTTGTTCCTTTTATAAGAACACCAATCCCATCAGATTAGGGCCTCACCCTTAGGACCTCATTTAACCTGAATCACCTAAAAACCCTATCTCCAAATATAGTCGCATTGGGGGTTAGGGGTTCAATATATGAATTTGGGGGGACACAATTCATTCCATAGTATAGGGTCCACTGGGCCTTTTTTGGTCGAGCCCACTTTACCAGCCTCTTCTAAACCCAACTCACCTCTCTGCCTGTGCGCCTTTATATCTTGGATTTTTTTTTTTGGTTCCTCTGACTTGTCTGGATTTCTTATAGCTCAGGTTCCCCCTCCCCCGCTCTGATGTTTTCATATTTTCATCATTTTCAAGTCTCAGTTTGAATGTTAGCTTCTAGGGGAGGCCTTCCCCGATCCGCATCCTGTGTTAGGTCCTCTGGCTGTACATGCCTATGGTACCCTGAACTCCACCTTGTGTAAGAGTCACCACCTCAGTCCTGTGTGTTTCATATCCGTCCTTCTGAGCTCCACAGGGCAGGAAGATCTCTGTCTGGTTGGTTGCAGCATCCCCAGGGCTAGCACAGTGCCTGGTGCCTACTTAGCAGTCAGTCAAAATTAGCTTTTATTGGTAGATGCTCAATACGTTTCCATTGACCTGAGCTGTCCTCAGAGAGTATATGTATTTTGTTGTCTAATTTGGGTTGAAATCTCTCAGAAGGGTCCTATCTGTTCCTTCCTTGAAATCTCCTGTCCCGTGCCCATCCTGGGCTCCTTCATTCAGGAAACATTCCCATAAATGATTATTAATCGATCTCCCTACAACTTTCCCAACATGTATCACATTTGAAGAAACAATCATATTTAAAAGAATATGTTACATAGCAGGACAGTTTATTATGAATGTCATGTAATGGGAATCTATTGAGAATTCAAGAGAAACGAAAGAGGTCCTCTCCTCTCCCACCTCTGGGAAACCAGGACTTCGTTTCTTTGAAGTTGTGGATTTCCTGACCCCTGAGGTGTTTGGCTTTTTGTGTATGTTTTAGAAGGAACAGAGAGAATCAGGCTGGGTGGGGCTGTAAAGGAAACCCACCCTAAGCAGGCCTTGTTTTGGAAGAGCTGGAAAGATATCTGTGGTGCCAGATGGTCTGAGAGTACAGGGTGTGAGGGCAGGAGCCTACTTCTTGGTTGACTCTTAGACCTCCATGGACTCAGGGAAAAGAGAGGGGGTGCAGGCTGGGCACGGTGGCTCACACCTATAATCCCAGCACTTGGGGAGGACGAGGTGGGCAGATCACTTGCGGTCAGGAGTTTGAGACTAGCCTAGCCAACATGGTGAAACCCCATCTCTACTGAAAATACAAAAATTAGCCGGGCATGGTGGTGGGTGCCTGTAACCCCAGCTACTCAGGAGGCTGAGACAAGAGACTCACTTGAACCTGGGAGGCGGAGGTTGCAGTGAGCTGAAGTCATGCCACTGCACTCCAACCTGGGCAACAAGAGCAAGACTCTGTCTCAAAAACAAAAACAAAAACAAAAAGACTGTAGAATAATACTAAAAATATAGATATCATGCTGTCCCCCACCTCCAATGTAATTTTTTAAAAACCCAAACAACTACATGAAAGCAAAAACAGCTTTAAGGGCAGGGCGCAGTGGCTCACACCTGTAATCCCAGCACTTTGGGAGGCCGAGGCGGGCAGATCATGAGGTCAGGAGATCGAGACCATCCTGGCTAACATGGTGAAACTCCATCTCTACTAAAAATACACAAAATTAGCTGGGCGTCGTGGCGGGCACCTGTAGTCCTAGCTACTCGGGAGGCTGCGGCAGGAGAATGGCATGAACCCAGGAGGTGGAGCTTGCAGTGAGCGGAGATTGCACCACTGCACTCCAGCCTGGTTGACAGAGCGAGACTCCATCTCAAAAAAAGAAAACAACAAAAAAACAAAAACCAAAACAAAAACAGCTTTAAGGATGTGTTATGGACTTACGACTTTCCCTAGTAGCATGACTACCTTGATGCTCCCCTCCCTCCACTTTCTCCTCCTCCTTCCTTTCTTTTTCTTGAATATCAAATTGTTTTCAAGGTTTATTTGTCTGTTTTTCTCCTGGCTTTGCTGATGCCACACTTGGGCGATTAGGAGCTGCCCAGGGCAGCTGAGCAGCCTGAATTCTATTATTATTATTATTATTTTAAAGACAGAGTCTCACTCTGTTGCCCAGACTGGAGTGCAGTGGCGCAATCTCGGCTCACTGCAACTTCTGCCTCTTGGGTTCAAGTGATTCTCCTGCCTCAGCCTCCTGAGTAGCTGGAATTACAGGCCTGTGCCACACACCTGGCTAATTTTTTGTCTTTTAAGTAGAGATGGGGTTTCATCATGTTGGCTAGACTGGTCTCAAACTCCTGTCCTCAGGTAATCCACTCGCCTTGGCCTCCCAAAGTGCTGGGATTACAGGCATGAGCCACCACATCCCACCAGCAGCCTGACTTATAATGGTCCCCACAGGCCTGGGCAAGCAGCTGGCAAGTGCTGACCACGTGGCCAGAGGAACAGACTCTTCGGTTTCATTAGAACTGCATAAATCTGGGCATCTTGTATGACCTGAGGGAGGGAGCCTGAAAACTCCAGTCTGACGCTGGAGTTCCAGTTAATGGTGGGCAGGGCTGGACCCAGAGTCTATTTGAGTGAGTCCACAAAGAAACAAGACATTACTTGTAGCCCAAGAGCTGTGGGGCAATCATACCTGTTGCATATATGTTGACATGCATGCCTCCCTTCACATAAATGTTTCTAGATAGAGAAGAATCTAGTAACAGTTCTGAATCTGGGAAGTGGGACTGACTGGATCTACCTTTTTTTTTTTCTAACTTTTTAAAAAAAATTGAACAGATGTTATTTGTATAATAAAAATGTATTTCAAAATTAGAATGACAGCAATAATAAACTCAGATTGCTAAATTCTTCACATGATAAGACAGCTGGTAACCCTGCCTCACAGGCGGGGTGAGCGTGTGACCCACACCTCAACAGTGATGTCTCCCAGCTGTGGTGCGTCCTGTGGGCAGCTGGAGAGGAGGCTAAACATAGACTAGCCTGTGGAGCATGTCAAGACAGATCAGGCCTGGTGCTAGAACATTCCTTCACTCTGTCAATGAGCAACTACCTCGTACCTGTGTCCTAGGGACCGGGGACGTAGGAGTGAGCAAAGCACACTGGCTTCCTAGACCCCGAGACTTAGATGCTAACGGAGGGGATGTGTGGGTCACTCTGGCCCAGCAGGAGGACAAGGAAGGAGAGTGCGAGCCACAGAGGGCCCAGGAAGATCCCCAGGCCTGGTATGGGGCAGGGTGGGAAAGGTGGTATGCCTGTTCCAGGGCAGCCAGTTCCTTAGCGCCTCCTTTCAGAAACTCCTCTGTGCTACTGAGGGGCTGGAAGGTTTCTTTTTAATTCAAAATAATTTTATTTTAAAAATTAACATAAAGTAAAATTGATTTTTTCAGTGGACAGTCCTATGAGTTTAACATGTTTAAAGATTCAGGTAATCACCACAATCGGTCATATAATCACCACCACTGAAACAGAAAAGCTCCACTGCCTAAAACACTCCCTCCGGCTACCCCTGTGTAGTCCTATCCTCTTTCCTGCCATTTTGCTATTTTCATCTAGTCTCTGTTGCTGTTGTTTTATTTTTTCAAAAGTGTCACATAAATGGAATCATACAGTCTGTAACTTTTGAGAACAACTTTTTTCACTCAGCATAATGCCTTTGAGATTCATCCAAGTCATTTCATGTGTCAGTAATTCGTTTCCTTTTTCCATTTTAAAAATGTATGCAGTTTGATGTTTTTTGCCTTTTTCCTTTCTTTTCTTTTTTTAAGCAAGGTCTCATGGTGTTGCCTAGGCTGGAGTGCAGTGAAATCATAACGGTTCACTGCAGCCTCAACCTCCTGGGCTCAAGTGATCCTTCTGCCTCAGCCTGAGTAGCTAGGATTATAGGCGTGCACCACTATGCCCAGATAATTTTTGTATTTTTTGCAGAGACGGGGTTTCACCATTATTGCCCAGACTGGTCTTGAACATCTGGGCTCAAGCGATCCTCCCGCCTCAGTCTCCTAAAGTGCTGGGATTAAAGGCATGAGCCACTGTACCTGGCCCAATTAGTTTTTTAAAATTAAATCAATTAATTAACTAACTAACTGGCTATCAGCAGGAAACAAATCCAATGAGCTTTTACATTTATATTTACCCCTTTAACCACCATCTAGACAAGATAGCTTCAACCCAGACGTCTCCCTTGTTTCCCTTCCAGTCAATATGTAGCACCCTCTTTCCTGCCCACCTCACTCCAAACTAACCACTATTCTGACTTTTATTTTTCTTTTTTTTGAGACAGAGTCTTGCTCTGTTGCCCAGGCTGGAGTGCAGTGGTACTCTTTCAGCTCACTGCAACCTCCACCTCCCGGGTTCAAGCAATTCTCCTGCCTCAGCCTCCCAAGTAGCTGGGATTACAGGTGTGTGCCACCATGCTGGGCTAATGTTTGCGTTT